CATAACTACTCGTTCAACATAAATATTAATAATAAATGAGTTAAGTTTTGTTATAAATTTTGAGCAATAAATATTCTGTTCCTATATTATTGCCAAATTATTGGTGGCAGCACAAAATATATTGTACGCGCCACATTCGGAAAGTGTATTTACAGGGCTCGCGTGCTCGCCCTGTAAAGTATCACTTTCTAAACTTGACACGTAAATAACTATATCGAGTCATCCTGTCGCTATACCAACTTGGGCCATGACAGCTTCTTCATTTCACTTATTGGCAATTTTTGTCCACGTTGTGCTATGGGTGCTCCGCACCCAGTTTAAAACTGCTCTGGGTGCTTGCGCACCCAGAGCCCCGAGGATTCGGCGCCTATGCTTATTACTATCAGTATATCCCGTTAAGTCAAGTTCGTTCGTGGCCGAGCGGTCTAACGCGCGGGTTTTGGATTGCCCCAGTCTCACCGATCGTGGGTTCTAATCCCCACGGCTGAAAAATTGCAATTTTTTCTTTTAATAATTAATCGAACTAAAAAGTAAAAAATAAATATAGTTTAAAAAACTAAAAAACATGCTTTTAGAGCATATCAAACTAAAAAGTTAAAAATATTTTTTTTAACACGCTTTTATTCAAATAAGCTTAAAACAATAATACTAGTATTTTCCATTTATTATTGTTAAAAAAAAATTTAACTTTTTAGTTTTATATGCTCTAAAAGCGTGTTTTTTAGTTTTTTAAACTATATTTATTTTGTGTTTTATTATTGTAATAGTGCGTCTGTTGAACTTAAAAAATGTGTTCCAACATAATCGAGTACTGAGTTGAGTAGTCCCAATCCCCGACCAGTACCTGACAAGTTGTCAATTACTAGTCGTCGACAGATTGTCAACAATAAGTTTTGGACTGGTATATGTATTGTTCCAAGATCGTTGTTGGAACAAACCTAAGCACTTCGCGAACGCTTCGAGTAGCCAATAGAGTGATCGTTCTGAAACGCCGAGAGAGTTCTGGTACAAAACTGGTTTCATAAACAGTGCGAGTTTGTCGACGGATGGGAAGATTCAATTTACGTGTTGGACAGAAAAGATAAATTGTAATAAATAAATTAGGATTGTAACACTTGGTTTTTTGTTGTATTTAATACATCTTGGCACATTTAAGAATAGATGATCTTCATTTAATAAATAATTTCTCTTAACAGCAATATCAAACCCAACATCTATAGTATGAAAATTCCTAAATTTATAAAAATTTTAAATATGCACGTGACAGAGCCCGTTCATACAGTAAACTTAAACCAGAGCGGCTAAATCATCTGCGCGATGAGCTCATAATATTAATAGAACACATCAAACAATAATTAGTCGCATAACATCGTTTGTAGATACATAAATGCTAAGTGATGCTATGTCGGCTTCCGTCCAAATCTGAGTCCACAAGGGGTTGAAAAAGTGAGGGGCGTTACAAAGGACCATCTGGACACCAGGCAACATGTATATTCTTTTACATTAGGGTGTAAACGTATTATCAAACGAAATGCGGTCATCAAATTTTGCATACCTACATAAGTATTAGCGCCTGTACTTCTATTTTTTTCAAGTATTTTAGAAGGAATTGGTTAAAACCCCGTTAAAAAAATAATACATCGTTTTATTTTAGTAATACATCGCATTGAAGTTTAGATTTTTTTTTATATAATATGTATTTGAATAGTTCTAATGGTCAAACTATCTTTATAGTAGATTAGAGATTCTACCGACCTGACTACTTCTGCCTAAAGGGTCCCAAATAGGGTGTAACCGATAGTAAAATGTTAGCGCCGTAAATGCCAAATCACAGGGTTTGTTGTATAGATAAATTCAGTCGCAAACAAGCATTATAAAGGTGGGTCCACATTGCTCCTGTTCGTGATCACGCTCGTGCTCGTGATCGCGCTTATGCTGTTTCCGGAATGTTGCTTTTTGTGTTTCTTCTGTCTGTCAAGATCATTTTAGCCGCAAGCAAAAGTATCCACATTGTAGTTCTGTGTTTGCGCTCTTGCGGTTCCGACATTGATGATTAATTATTATTAACGGCAACTGCGAGTGCGTTAATTATTATTATAAAACGGAGAGAACAGGAAAAATAAGTGACAAAAAGACGGTATTGGATGTCAAAGATTTTTAAAAGTAGATCCAAATACAGTGGAATCTTCTCCATGATTTGCAAACAGATGAAATGTTTTTTAATAATATAAAATTTATGTTGCGAATCCCACAAAACAGGATAAGTTTTGTAAAGCCCAATTAGCTTCAAAATGTTTTCTTCAGTTTACTCCATAATGCACTGCGCTTTGCTCGTACGCTTGTACTTGACTGAACTAGAAAGCAAACAGTAAAAACAAAAAAAAATCACCAAACCGCCGTCAACTGTGCTCGCGCGCGCAATATGCATCCCTTTGATGTACGCTACCTGACCGAACAGTCAAAACAGGTGTTTTGGGTAACTGCAAGCACGAGGAACGCTGCAAACAACCCAAACCCGACGAATATGATTTTTGTTTCATTTGTGCTGTTTGCTCCGTTTGTTGCGCTTGTTGTGTTCGTTCGCACTGTTCGCGAGCAATGTGGACCCACCTTAACAGTATAATTCAATATTCGGTTGAGTATACAGCTGGAATCAGTTGTTGATGTTATGAAGCGGTCGTACAATTAAAAATCGGGAGTGGATTGTAGGTGTCGATAATTTTTTTGTTTTTTCTTAATATTTAGAAATTTCATTTGGGATATTATATTTTTTTATTGTTTTTCCCGAATAATGGTCGTTTTGTTTTACCCTTGCACCTGATTTTGATACATTCATTTTCTCTCGCATAAATTTTTGTAATTTTAGGAGACATTTTGATGTGAATTACCGAACAATATAACATGGACCATGCATTCCAGTTCGAATTAAATTTCGCTTCTTCGAGAAATTCTACTAATTAATTTGTCGTGATGAATGACTGATCCAATAATTTATTCCCAGTTGTTGAATACTAATTTTTTGTTCTCGTGCACTCAATCCCTGTAAATCGGGCGGACATAAGAAATTACCATCGGGGAGGTTGAAGCCCACTAAGTTGTCCATAAGAGGCGACTAAAATAATGGCTTACTGATGTAGTGCAACCCACCTTCCCTACCTTACTGATACATATCCTCATGCAGTTGACCTTTCCGTCAGATTCAAGGTCTTCCTTCCATCGATATTCAGTCCATTACCTTTTTTATTTGCTTCTCTTCTTTGGATATATCAACATAATTTGGGCTTTAATAACAAGAATTTAATAAATTCCACAATATCATCTCCTTTCTTATCTCGTTAAGTGGTGTTAGAATGAATGTTTCTTATTTCCCATATTCTTAGTTTTTCTTGATCGCTAGTAAACTTGATTTTATTCGGGCATACTACTTTCAGCTTGGATGCATTAGGAAATTTCAGAATTGGTATCATTTTTTCCAATAAAAATGACCCCTTAATATTTGAAATGTTCTACTCTCTTAAACACTCTATGGCTGCAAATTTTGTACAAACGATTGTTGATAGTAGGTAGCGATTTTTCTTCTGGATATTAATTCTACAATATTCCCGACTTAAATTTCTTAGAAAATGGCCCAAAACTTGAGATGAGTTGCGACGAAATTTTCGTGTCGCTGCGACAAACAGCGACTGCTCCGAAAAAGTCGCAGTGACAAATCGCCGCGACTTTTCGGAGCGGTTAACTAGATCGCGACTTGTGACCTGTGTCATGTCCTCACGTAAGAAATAGCTGCTATTTTTTTAAATCGTTGCATTTTCTTCGAAGCAGTTTCAATGACCGTAATTTTTTTGGCAATCTATTTTTTGTGCAAGATTTTTTTAAAAAGATAATAATAAATTTTATTTTTATAAAATAAAGTTTGAAGATTAAAAACAGTCGATTACTTATTGCCGCCAAGATACATTTTTAAGGATTGTAGATTAAGGGGGCGCAAAAACAGACTATTTTTTTGAGTCTCCAAAGAGCAGCTAAAAAATATTTTTTAGAGGTCGCTCAAGATTTTTTTATATACAAAATTATTGCTTCTTATGTTTTTGAGCGACCTTTAAATTTTAATATCAAGAATTATTTTCAATTTAATATTTTGAGCTAAAAATTTGAGATTTTTTTTTTTAGGGAACAAAATTCTACCGTCATGAGCAAAAAAATTTGAAAAAACAATCCAATTTTGGCTAATTTTAAAATTTTTAAAAATCTTGAGCGACCCATAAAAGTTTTTTTAACTGCCTTTTGGAGGGGATCTTTTACCATATTTTCGCCCTATTGTAGATGTCCTATTTGTTTTATACAAATTTCAGCGACTGCGATTAGAAGCATATAATATAATAGTTTTCGTTCCGATCGCAATTCCAGTTCACATCAGATAAATATGCGATGCGACATTTATTTTTAGCAATAGTGCCTGAATGAAAACGTGCCTAAATCAAACCCAGCTCCAAAAAGTCGCAGTGATTTTGAAAGAACCGGAGCGGTTCGCTCCAGCGACAGGAAAGTAGTGGCAACAAAATCGCTGACAGCGAAATCGCAACACATCTCTACCCAAAACCCTATTCTGACACGAAATAGTTATCTTTTTTTTCAGCTTCAATAACTATTAGGTATGCTGATGTATATAATATAACGTTAGAGGTAAATTACTAAATGAAGTATCAGCTTGGTCGTATCATTCTGCCTCTATCTATCTTTTTTCTATAGTCCTATGGTTCTTACTCTATCGGACTCTATCCAGTATTTGGTGAAATTGATGTTCGAAACTAATTATTGATAACATGTGCACCTTGGAGATATAGATATTTATATATGGATTTTAGTCAATAGGTATCGAATATTATATTATGTTAATCACAAATGATAAACATATTTACAAAATAATTTCAATGGATTATTACTTTTAAATAATTGTAGTTATGTATATAAAACAGAACATATTAAATTCGAATGTTTACCTGTATTCTAGCTTCATTTAATTTTGTACTCCTAGCTAATTCTTCTCTACAATAAATATCAGGATAGTGACTTTTGGCAAACGCTGCTTCTAATTCTGCTAGTTGTTCTTGGGTAAAGGTAGTACGATGCCGTCTTCGTGCAGGCGTTGGACAGGATGCAGTGGTTGGTGTATGACCGGCATGCTGAGGTCCACTGCTTGGAGAAACTGTTCCTAAATTTGTTCCACTAGGTATCGTTTGTGGTTCTGGTTTTAATTTTTTGAATGCTCCATCTATAATAAAAAATGTACTTATGATATATATGTCATTAAAAAATTGTTTTTAGATTTCAGAAAATGTAGGTTCTAAATTTAGATTTTTAACTTCCGTCTTACTAACTGCATAACGTTTCAATCGGAGGTGACAAGAGAAGGATATGAGGGGCATGAAAGGTTTGTTCTGGTTCTCAAAATAAAAAGGAAAGTGTGAGTAAAGACAAAAAATTCCTGACTGCTTGAAATTGTCGGAAAACTAGCACAATAATTGAAATGGGAATAGTACGCTTGTGCGGGTTCATGTGTTTTATTTATTGTTTATTTACAATGCTTTAGATTCATTTAATAGTTAATTATAAAATAATTGTTTTAAAACAGCTTAAATTAACATTTGCATGCATAATATGTTCATCATTATCTTTTTTTATCAGATAAAGGTTCAAATTAATTCACTCTTTCTCTAAGGAATTAAAAAAACCTAAAATAATATTTAAAAAAATGTAATAGGTAATAATACTAAAATGCCATTAATTTACAAACAAAACAAAAACAAAGGACCGTCATATCAAATAATCACATTAATCACTTCGCATGCGCAGTCAAAACAGTACAAGTTGATCCACACTCCGAAGCAAAAACAAATTTTGACTGTTTACAACAATCACGGATTATTTCGGATACGAAACCAGAACATTGGAATGGGAGTTCCGAAGTAGTGTAAGAAAAACCAGGAAACTATTCACTAACTCGTGGGAGTGCGCCTTCACGATTGCTTTCTCACTCACCTACTCACTGTGTTGCCACTACCAAAATTTTATTATCGGTAGACAACTTCGGTAGAAATCGGTAGATTTAAAGTCAACAATTGTTTTTTTTTTTGGGGTATAATTGTCGATTGTTAAAAAATAAAAAAAACCGAAGAATAAAACTCTAAATAAAAATAGAAAATAATTAACAAAAACAACCAAAAGAATTCTTTAGTGTTTCGAGATGTAATCAAACTTTGACAAATGTGGCGGCTGCTAACAGCTTTTTATACTTTATTCCCACTGCTTCAAATGAACATTGACTTCCATAACCCGTATAAAGTTGTTACAGAACAAATAGAAGAGCCGGAAGTGGCAGGTACGATTCATATCTACACCGACGGTTCTAAAACAAAACTATGCACCTACTCTGGCTGCCAAGATTTTGAATTATGAACATTAATTTTTTACCAATTGTGCCGATTTATTACGAATTTATAACACGTGTTTAATACTTAATACTGTTTTCCGTGGAGAAAGCCAAAAAATATTCTAAACTTGTACTAAAACATACTAAAAAATGAAAATCGGTAGAAAATAAGGTATTTTGGGTAGATCGGTATATGGACTGCCAAATCGGTAGAAGTGGCATACTGCTCACATGATTTACTCTTCGTGAAAACGGATCAATATCATGGAAGGTTCTATGATACGGATTTTATAAATACTTAAGGCGAATGACATGCGCAGTAAGCAGTAGCGGCTCGAGGACACTAGCGGCAGTGGGGCACACACTGAAAAGGAATCCCGGGATTCGTTTTTCCCTTAGGAAAACAAGTTCTCCGCTTAATGAAAATTAAATATATTTCAAAACAATCAGTTGGGGGCAATAACGATTTCTGAATGTGACTACAGGGAGCTAAATGTGACCACTCAAAATGCATTTAACTATGTATGTGGCTATTTATTGAAAAAAATCATTACATATCCACTCTTGCGAAATTCGCGTAAATTTCTCAGAAGAATGCAATTTACTTAACAATTGTAACTTGTTAACGCATTTTAAAGCATACGACTCTGAAGAAAAGGTGTTTGGCAATTTAAAATCTCCCAGCGAAAAATTTCTCATTTATATTTTCAAATTAGAAAAAATATTTATATCTCTATTTGATAGTTTGTCAACTAAACCTGGAATTTCCAACGAATACCTTGCCAACAATTTTCGAAAATGTACACCATTAAATTATTTATAAGACTCAGAATTTTTATACTCCTAAATATGCAAACAGAGATTTGAAATCCTCGAAAAAGTAAGACAAAACCAAAAGAAAAATAAAATTTTTGTCCCATTTATAAATATTATTGATTTTTTTTCATCATATTTTTAAATGCTTTATAAAAAAAGTTATTTTTCTTTCTAGTTTTATTTCTTAACTATTCCAATGGTCCAACTAACGTTTTTTCGTAATCACAATAAATAAATTATTATCATGGTCCAACAAACGCGCACATTAAGCCGAAACCGGCTTCGACTTTGTGGGGGGCCGGTAAAGATGCCTCTGCGTACATTGATATCTGGTCTAGGTAATCTGTGCTATGGGTAAAGCACGTCACGCTGAGGACAGCGCCTTGCTTGTGACGTATAATCCATCGCATGTGTTCATCTCTTGCTAAGCGATATTGTCGTTGTCCTTGTTTTTCGCATTTCGCATCATAATGAGAGAGAAAACAACAGAGGCACACATTTACTGTGCCCTGTGCCCATCTTCTTTCGGAATTCTCGGAATGTCGCTCAACGCCCGGTCGTCCAGTATCGTGCCAACTCGGTTTGCGCTGAATATTAGATAAAATAATAATAGGCATTGAGGAAAATACAAAATGTGTAATTTTTGTTTTGTTTATTATACTAGGGCACGTGCCCAAGTGCCCTTACGGGCAAACCGCCACTGACAGTAAGGTAAAATTGTCAGATAGTGGGTACTCCTACACGACTACTCTCACAGTTACTAAATAGAGGCCATATATGCTTTTTATCATTATTTCTCAAAACCAAAACCACAACCAGCCCGGACGCAGTTAACATTTGACTCACTGTGAGGTATGAAATGACATGACAACTGAGTTGCCATCAAATTGTAGCCTACTTAAAATTACAATGACAAGATATTGAATTGAATAAATGGAAAATTCTTAAAATTATAAAATCCCAATCTGGAAGGCGGCCTCGAAGTTGTTTACAAGAGTAATAATAACTGATTCAGACGTCAGAAACAAATAACATGAAATACTGACTAAACATATGATAAAAACGATTGAAGTTGTGAAAGTTAGTTTAAGAATTAAAATTATAAAATTAAATTATTGAAAAATTAGAATTTTTGAAAATTTAAAAAAGAATTTTAATGCATCTATTGACTCACGGAATTATCAACCACCAGGATTAACAAAGTCAACGCTCCAGGTATGACACACTTAACATAAAACTAAGTAACTTCAAGCCAATCGTTGCCGATACTCTTAAATAGGGGAGGAACATGACTATTAAGGTGAATTTGAGTGTTGACACAAGTAGAGCTAGATTCTCTATAGATTTCAAGATCCTCAAGTAAATTTAGTTTAAAATTGCAATTGAAAATATTGTGCTAGATGGTAGCGTTCTCTGAAGGAGTGAAATTGTGATTATTGTACTTAAGATGATATCCAGAAGTAAACAAGAGGTATTGCAGTCGTTACAACAGAGTCTATAAATTCCACTTTTGTCAAGAAAATCTATCTCATCCTTAGTGTGAGAAAGTAAACTTGTGATTAAATTAATATTTTTGAAAGAGATTTTAATATTATTGTAGTTTTTAAACACATTGGCAATATCATTAGACATTTTCCCTAAAAAGGATAAAGAAAAATATTTGACAGTAGAAGAAGTTAAATGTAAACAACCGCCTTCCAGATTGCGATTTTATAATTATAAAAATTTATTCAATTCAGTAACTTGTCATTGTAATTTTAAGTTGGCTACAATTTGATCACAACTTAGTTATGTCATTTCTTACCAACTATTTTTTCTTTACCTTCTGTCAAAACATTACTCAAACTTCACCATTTTTAATTGGTATTACTGTTGACAACTTCATTGTCACTGTCACTTGTCACCGAATGACAACTAATATACCAAAATCTTGTTGTTTTTTTTTTATCGTCACCAGCCACTTTGTCAATAAGAATAAAAAAGAAAAAAAGCTAAAATATATTACATGTTATTCCACTGCAGGCAATTTACTTAATCTTTTATTGTCGATGAGATGAGAGTAGCAGTGCTCACTGTTCTGTTTTAATTTTTGTATTAAGTTTCGTCCTCCACTTACACCGGTGAAGAAGGTACCTCAGCGGAAAAATGCTTTTACTTCGTATTCCGTTCATAGTTCACCGTTAATTTACAAGATTTTGACCAATCCAAATTTGATGGTGGGTCTCGATGTTGTGGCTTTACGCTTACGTTGACCAGAGTTCGTTATTGATATAAGATGTACCTAATGTCTCTTTCTTCTTGTCTTACGGGTTTTTTGACGATTAAGTTCAACTTAACTTTTACTTACTTTGTATCTTCATTGTCTATCCTGAGGATGCCTTAATCGGCGAAAGCGCTTGATTAACTTTTTAAAATAAAGTGAAATTGTTAAAACAATTTCTCCTATATACACTTTAAATACAGAATCTTTAATTTTTTCATACTACCCAGTGTGTACAGACCTACAAACCCTTTGAATATTATTTATTGCAAACTAGTTACAACCCGTATCTTACGGAGTGTAGTTTATTTTATTACAAGTTTCTATAATATAAAATTTTACAAACAACAATAATTACTCATTAAATTTAACTTACAGAAAAGAAAATTTGTTTTTGATAGTTTTAATGTTAGGTGAAGAGTTACTACTGTTATTTTTTTGTTGAACCCCAATTTTGTCATTGTTAATGTTTTTTATAGGATCCAAACGCTTAGAACAGTGGCAGCATATATATTGTTTCCATTTATACCTGTATTATAACAATAAAAAAAATTTAAACTGTGTTTTATTTTTCTCTTAAAATGATATTTAGGTTCAATTCAAAACAAAAAAAATTGCCACAAAATTGTACTTTCACCAGTCAACAAACCTTTTCGAATTTGATATTACCTACCTAATTTGTATTTTATATAGATAAAATTAAATAATTTATTAATTAAAACAAGCAAGACTTATTTAGAAATAAATACAACAGTATGTTCTGTGC